AAGAAAAGTAATACACAACATAACATTAGACGACACATCATAATCTGGTGGTCCTTTGAGAAACAGAAACCTGATATTTTTTTTAAAAAAAGAAATATCCAATCCCATAACTAAGGATAATATACCCAACTTCCATGTTCAATCAGCTAACACTCCTACAAAAACATTTTTAAAAAAACAGAGTAATGTAAACCACTTAGATCGGGGGTGTCAAATAGTTAATGACGTGTTGCAACATATTGCGACTTTTTTGCCATTGACAGCAATGGGGTGGGTGCGGTTTTGCTATGATGCATCTGGCCTGCGGGCCGGCAGTTTGATTCCCCTGATTTAGATCTTAGATTCTTGTTTTTTTCCTTTAAACAGATAAATGAAGGGGAGATTAATTGGGTAATTTGTTCCACTGTCAAATTGCTCATTGCTCATACTTGGGGTTTCCTATTACTTGATCATTCTTTCTACCCTACCCTGAATCTATACAGTATGGAACAAAACTACTACTTTACATTACTTGGAACTCAACTTGTGTTGATTAAATATGATTTAATATATGTAACAGAGGCTTAATTAGATTATTTTCATTATTGGAATATAGCAATTTGAGTGATACAGAATGAACAGGAGCAAGAGAAATGGGTTTGTTTGTTTTTTAAAACCTGTGTTCAGAAATGAATGAACTTGACAATATACTAGAGAGCACCTTAATTAACATAAAGAGAAGAACAAATAAAAGCAATAGTGTTGTTGGAGCCTACTGTCTACCTTCCAGATCCAAAAGAAATTGTGCATGATGACTTCCAAAGTAAATTGCAAATATTCAAAAAAGCATGAAATTGTGGTGTTGGGAGATTTACATCATTTTAGCCTATGTTGACAAACTAACTTTGCCAAGTATGGACCTTTCTAAATGATCTCATATGGACAAATGTACAAAAGAATTAGGGATTATCCTTTATTTGATACTAATCAATAGGCAAGACTTTATTAGGGAAATGGAAATAGCCAGAACGTCATATAATTTTGGAACTCTTATTTTTAAGAGAAACTGAAACTGAGCATAATCAAATATATAATTTGGATTTTTAAAATAATATATTTTAATAAATTCAGAACAATCATAAATTGGATTTCATGGCAGAAGAAGCTAATGGGAATAGGAGTGCAAGATAAGAGGTTTGTTTGTTTAAAAGGTGGCATTAAAAGCACATCTATCAATGATTCAAATACATTGTTATTGTTGTTGTTGTTAGCATATGGCATTCTTACATTAACCAAGAAACCACAATGCTATTGCAGAGTAGTAGCGTGGCTGCCAGTTTAACAGCTCTGTTATAGGACATGCTCGTACACTTACCTAGGTGTGCTACAGGAGGACAAGCTGGCTTCACCCCAGAGAGAAAGATGAGCAGCTCTTCCTGCAGTGTCACCCAAGGCCCCCTCCCTTCCCTGGAGCCATCTCATACACGGGCACCGCATGGGATGGGAGCTCACCCTGCCAAGCAGTATTAGGATTCAAACCACTAGAGCAGAGACCATCTCCAGCATCGTTAAACCACTGAGCCACCATGCCTTTTATTAAAATAAAGAGAAAATACACAGATCAGCAAATGGAAATGACAGTTCACATAGGAAAGACTCTGACTAAGGAGGGACATTATTTTTATATATATATTTATATCCCTGAATGTACGTCCAATAAAGAGCCAACATGATATAATGGTTAAGGCATCAGTCTAGAAATCTGGAGACAAGTTCCACTCTCATTTCAGGCATGAAGCCAGATGGGTGATCTTAGCCCAATCACTCCATCACAGCCTAGGAAACAGGCAATGGCAAAGCACTTCTTAAAAAAAAAAAAAAACTTATCAAGAAATCTGCAGGGCAGGCAAGGTTAAAAAATAATTCAAAAGCTTAAAATAAAAATAAACGTCTAGTACATGCTCAAGATCTGTTCTCTCCTTCGTTCCAAATAGTAGAAGACACACTAATCGATTTAAATTATAGGAAGGCCGATTTTGACAGAGAACAAAATCTCTCAACACCATAAGAAATATGACAATTATTCAGGGAGGTTGTGAATTCTTTTTCAATGAATGTTTCAAGGACAGCTTAAGCAACCATCTGGATTCTCGCACTGAGCAGGTTATTCAACCTGGTGCCTTTCCAACTGGTCATCCACTATATCATACACCTTCCAAAGTCATGTAAGAGAATCTTTCAGAAAATAATCCCACTCCAATCACTCATGTTAAAAGTTTCTTCATCCAACCTGGGAACTTTCAAAATATTATGAATGGTACCAGACCCAAGTAAATATAGAAAATATATGCTACAACACTTATGATTTAAAATAGTCTATTTGCAAAATTTCCATGAAAGTTGAACAAGTGTATTAAGATGTTGCTTTATTTTTAATTTATGTTGCCATAAGGATTATAAATCATTATCTGGGAAAGGCCAAAGGTGCTAGCCCTTGTTCTCTTCAGCCTTTGGAAATTGAACATAATTTTTTCAACAAGATCAAAACTTTTAGGATTAATATTTCTTTTGATTGACAATAGACTTGAAAGGGTTCAAACCATCAAAGCAATAAACTATTATTCCTTTCATTTTATTTGTAATAGTTTCTGATATTGTTAGTGTAGAAATACCAAGAACTAAATAAAGTTACATGGCTAAAGGGAACAGCATCCAGTGGCATCTTGTCAAATATCTTTGAAAACCTGTCTTAATATCTCACAGGAAGAACATAGCACTACATCTACTAGAAATCCTTAATGGAATATGTGAATATTAGGGCAGAAAGTATCTGTCAAGACAACAACTTATTATATCTAATTTCACCTGGTCTGATAGGCAGAGTTTCAAAAAGATAAATTAAGCCTTTCTCTATTATATCTTGACAAGTCTCTGCACCATTTTATAAAATTATCTGTCTATGGAAACATCCTGGTATTTGCATTATTCACTTTATCAGTTGAAGACCATATTTTTCTATGATTTTGGTCAATAGTAGGCTACTAGCAGCTCCTGAGACCTCTTTTAAAAAACTCTGGAAGTTCCCTACTATTTTTAAGATTATTTAACCTTAGTTGTAGAAGATCCTAAAATGTTTTCAGAAATGCTTACCCTGTAGGATTAAAATCTAAGTAGCATTCAAGGCTGGTCAAGTACTCACAACTGATTTAGACCAATATATTATACAGAGGATCTAAAGAGAAACTATACTAACACAGCTTCACTAATAAAGTAGGGTCTGAATAGAACAGAGAACTATTTTCTGTTCAAACATATGCAAAGAACTGCAACCTGAATATATAGAGATCAGAACAGAATGGGTTAAGGCCATTCTTATTGCTGGGCTATTTCAAAACTGTCATTATTATCTATCACTATCAAATTATTTCTGCCAATCTGAAGTGGGGAATGGTCATCGTTAGTGATCCTGTGTTGTATGCAGAAAGCTGGACCAAGTAAAAAAGCATTGCCTGAAGTATTAACAGGATATCCATCAAATGACTTTGGATATAATGGATCCAAAGCCTGATAATTCCTTGAATAGAATCTAACCATTGTTGTGACAGCATAGTTCTAGCAGAGCATCCATTCATCCATCCCCAAAAGGAGCTAATCCTCCAACCTTATTTTGGCCATAAAAACCCTACATAATTAAGATATTGCTTGGTCTGATACAGGGTTCATTGCCATAAAAAGAAAAAAATATCATTTCTGAAATACATACACACATATGCCAAGGGGTCATTCTCATGTTCCCTCTAACCAAAGCACAACTGTGCCTTGCTAACTATTTTTAAATGGCATATTTTCATGATAATGTATCTCTCCATAGCCAAAGCAGATAATGTATCTCTCCATAGCCAAAGCAGATCTTTAGCTCTTCATCTTTTAAAATAGTGCTACCCGTTTCTTCTAATCATTTTTACAATGGTACAATATAGTCTGCTTCCTCAACAATATGGTTGGACACAAGGTTAGGACTAGAGCATATTAACTATTGTGGGGATAGTCTCTCTTTTGAATTGCTGGCCATTACATGTAGTCCTTGCTTAATGGCTTCCCTGTCTAGCAACCAAAGTTACAATAGCATTGAAAAAATAAATTTATGATTGGCCGTCACACTTATGACTGTCAGTCAGGGTCACATGGTTGAGATTCAGGTGCTTGGAAATTAGCAGGCATTTATGAACATTGCCGCATCCCGTAGTCACGTGATTGCCATTTGCATTGCTTCACACTTGGCTTCCAAAAGAAAAATCAATGGAGATGCCAGCAATAAAATCACAATTTGCAATCATGTAATGTCTTGCTTAAAGATCATGTTACTTAGTGACAAAGTTGCTGGTCCTAATTGTGGTCCTTAAATGAGGACTATTTCATGGTCTTGTTTAGTTTTGGCTGCAAGAACACTGGTCATTGAATCCTATAGAGACATTTTCTCTCAGTATGCCTGACAGGTACTTTATAAAGTACTGCATTTATCAATTATACTCATTCCACTAAAATACAGAGGGATTACCACCCAAAGAGTGCTAGCTCTGTTTTTAACATGGGATTAGAGCTTTTTGAAACAACAATTGACATAGGCTTAAAAAAAAACTCTCCAAAAAACAGGGGAAATGCTGTCACCACTTGAGGAAGAATCATTACAAACTAGAGTTGGAATTTGTATAATTTTTAAAAAATATTCTGACACAGAAACCTTGTGATTTTGTTTTTAAAAAATCAGAATTAAATTCCTTCCAACTGGGCTTCAACAAAGTTAAAGTGCACTCTAGATTTTAACAGGTACTTTGGGGAAAGCAGTTAGGTGGAAAGAATGTGCCTATGTTGACATCCCTGCTTCTAAAGAATTAGACCAGCCCCAAATGACCATATAGAGTATTGTACAAATATTTCAGTATATAAAAAAATCAATTAAGTTTAATGAAAGTCTTTTTTAAAAGGAAAATAGTAATTATTAGTTCAGCTTATCTACATACCTCCACAGTGAGCTCTCTGTGATACTCCCCAGGTTGTAGTCATACAACTTTGTCAGAATTAAAATCACCTATAGACACAAGAAGAAATCTTGGTTAGTCTCTAACAATTAGAATCTCATACCACTGATACAGCCCAGGGGAAAGTTTAGGCTGTTGTTAATGAGTGCTTAACATAATTAAATGAATTGCTTAAGCATTTGCTTAACTGGCATGGGTACTGCCTGAACAAGTATCCATCCAGCATTGTCTTTGCAAGTGATAGATAGACAGATAGACAGACAGGCAGATAGATAGATTTACCCATTGGATAAATTGAAATGGTATTACTATAAACCAGCATGGAGATTCTTAAGGCACTGCTATTAGGGTTAATGGATCCAGGCTGAAAATAATATAGATGATCACAAGATGCTAACAAAGAACATTTTCTATGTTTCATTGTTCTACTTGATTTTTGATCTGGATTTTTGTAGCCCAGGCCCAGTAGTTTTCAGAACTCTGGATAGATGAGTCTTGTTTAAAAATTAATAGGCAAAAATAATTAATTCTGGCAATTAACCCTTCCTAGAATCAAGTATTTTATAATACAATAGTACTGAACAAATTATAAATGAATTAATACTATGCAATCATGGACATGGAGATATTCTAGTCCACAGACTGACCTCACAGCATGAACCCATAACATTCCTAGATATAATTTAGAAAGAAAGAAAGGAAGGAAGGAAGGAAGGAAGGAAGGAAGGAAGGAAGGAAGGAAGGAAGGAAGAAAGAAAGAAAGAAAGAAAGAAAGAAAGAAAGAAAGAAAGAAAGAAAGAAAGAAAGAAAATCTCATTAATTTTTAGCATATCATATTGATAATCTCAGGAGATTTCAGTGTCCTCCCACAAGAACCAGGGAAAGATTATCAAACTTTCTGGATTTGACAGCAATGTTAAATTTCAGTGTTGTTAGTAAAAAAAAAAAATGGTTGGAGTGCCTGGAATAATATATTCATATGCCAGTGCTCAGCAACTGTAAAGGGTGTAACCCTTATAATCTATTTTTATTTAAATGGAAGAGATTTATAGCTAGAACATTCACAACTAATGGCTGACTACTGACTTGGTGAGGAGGACAATAGAATACATCACTTTCCTGGGATACTTCCTCATTCCAACTAGGGCTCTGGTTGAATGAACCATCAAGAAGTCAGGAAAATGCTAAAGAGAACTCAGGAAAACCTTGGGATTGAAAAGTCTCCTAAAATGTATTATTAAGTCTACCACCTTTATAAAATTTAAAAAATAAATGTAAATACCACCTGCTAATAATTTGCAGGCAATGGGTTCCTACTCCATGTAAAGTCATTAATTCAGCAGAATTTGCATATCTCTGGTTATTTTTGCTATTTTATTACAAAACATCTAGAATTGGGATGTACTTGTAGTCATAGTCACACATTGATTAATATAATTGTTGAGGGGTTTTCCTGTACAGGTTAATAGGTTCAGTTGCTGATCATCTCCTTAATTTCTACAACAGATGGATATGTGACCTGGTATACTACTAGCCTGGCTCCATTATTTAGTTTATTGCCATCTTGTATCAAGAAATGCTTCATGTTCCAATGCCCCTCATTTCACCATTTTCATAGTGAGGAATTTATAGGGCTATTCAGGGAACAGAACAGCAACATAATTTGGTATCTTCAACAAGCAGCCATCCTGCTGCCACTGATAAGCTTTCCTAGGAGGGCAGTGATGGAATTTAGCACTTTCCAACCCTTAATTGGCACATGTTTCTGTCAGACATATACAGCCACTGGGGAAATGCCATCTGACAGCTTACATAGGTTCACGTTGTTTTTAAAATAGTGAAATTAAAATGAAAGCATCATCAGATTTTAGTAGTTCAGAGCTTAGAAAATAAAAAAAAGAATATTTAAGATTCTTCATTTTTATCAGCAATTTAACTTTGCAGTGCTCAATCTACTGCTTGACATTGTATTGTTTCAATGCACCAATGCCTCCACACAAGCCTCATTTGTTATTATTTAGTTATCCCATACAACCCAGACATTGAATTACAGACAAATCACCTCCAAAACTGAATTCATGATATAAGAAGTAAAAAAAATGAATACTACTACTACACTGATTTGGCTAAATTAAAACCAATACCACAGGACCATTTCTTAAAGCAGGTCAATCATGACTGATGAGATGTTATTGCAGACAATTTTAGAAGACAGGCAAAATAGGGAATATGATTTCAACCTTGACAACAGGGAAAATAGATATACCACAACTAGCAGCAGCTATTTAGGCCTGGAAGACAAGATTCTCCCACTACAGATCGACAACTCCAGATCCTAGAAAAACATATCATCTCAGACCAGAAGCAGATATTGGACTAACTTCAGAGGAGGAGCTGTCAAAGGAGTTTGGGCCTTTAAAATGCCTCTTTGAGAAAAAATAAATATGGATAATTTTTCTTTTTCTTTGGTTTTTGTATGTATGAATGTTATGATTCTGTGGAGATAAACAATTATAAAAGCTGAAAAGATAGCAGTTTGCTCAATTTCCCAGGTGAAAAATAGTGGGATAAAGAACTTGGATGAGAGTCTTGTCAAAAGATTGAGAAAATCTTCTCTCTCTCTCTCTCTCTCTCTCTCTCTCTCTCTCTCTCTCTCTCTCTCTCTCTCTCTCTGTGTGTGTGTGTGTGTGTGTGTGTGTGTGAGAGAGAGAGAGAGAGAGAGACAGAGACAGAGACAGAGACAGAATTATTGTTTACTTCTACCTGTAGCAGTATAATAAAATAACCATTCTTACGGTTTTACTAACTATAATTAATTGATGAGAGGTGAGACAAGATGCTTCCCTCTTTACTATGTTAATTTTGTTCATAATTCAGCATTTGGCTGAATTATTTATATTTGCTGTTTGTTTCCCTTTCTAGTTTGTGCTACGTTTTCTGACTTTAGAGCAGGTTCTCAATAAGTAGTCTTTACTTTCTCCCCAGTGGAACAGTGGCATGGGAGAAAGGGAGGGGTAGAGATTGTTCTGTTAAAAAGAGGTGAAGTTTATTCAGTTATAATGTTTCATATCTCTGCATCTTCTACCTATTAGGACAGTCAGGATCACCAAGTAAAGTTATTAATGCCTTGATATTACTGTTGGATATCAAGTTGGTCTTGATTTAAAAAAACTAAATATTATATCTTATGGTGAATCAAGGACTTTACTAGTGTGTGGTAAGTAGACATTGCCACAAATGGCAGGCAGCCTGTTCAGTGTGCTAGTTAGGTATACTCCATTTGTCAGGTATGTTGATCAAGGAGAGGTATTGCAATAGTCCATAAGAATACCACATTCTTTTTACACCTCATTGAGACCAGCTTTAAGGGCATTTGCTTTATTCTAAGTGATCAGGTTGTTATGTCCCGAGCCTTGCAAACGGCTCGGGCGTTTGCAGGCAGTCCCGGGCAGGTGCAAAGCTGCCCTGGACCAGACAGGCTGTCGCCAGCGCCGTGCGCATGCGCGGGTGCTGGCGCGGGAAAAGTATCACATTTACCCGGGAAGCGTCTATATAAGAAGCTGGGAGGTTTTGGGAGCTGCTGAAGCCATCTACTTGTAAGCTGAACGCTGAATAAAGGAAACTGAGAACTTCAACTGCTTCTCATGTCTGCTTCCCGCCAAGGACTCAACACTGGCGATGAAGGTGGGATGCCTTACACCGCCTGGAAAGGAAGAAGTGTAAGATTACCCAAGTGAGTCCTGAGCGGCGGAACGGCGTCGACTCGGCAGCTACCCGCCAATCCAGTGCGCATTCGGGGGTAGGCTGGCTGATAGACCCGTCTTCTGAAGATGGCGAAAATCGGAAGGCTTTCGGAATTCGACGTCTCACATCCAGAGCGGTGGGAGTCATACGTAGCCAGGGTGGAGAACTACTTCAAGGCAAACCAAGTGAGGGAAGAGAGCTTGAAGGCTGCCACCCTGCTTTGTGTTTGCGGTCAAGACGCCTTCGACATCGCAGAAAACCTTGCAGCACCTGTTCCAGTAGAGTCTGTCAGCTACGCAGATCTGAAGAAGCTACTGAAGGAGCACTTCCACCCCAAGATGTCCGTCATCGCATGGCGCCACACCTTCGAGCAGAGGGATCAACGGCCCGGTGAGTCGGCCAAAGAATTCATCGCCGCATTACGGAAGGCCGCCAAGCACTGCGAGTTCAAAGACCTCGAAGAACGACTGAGGGACCGATTCGTGTGCGGGTTAAGGCATCGAGATCTACAACAAAGACTTTTCGCTAAAGAAGAATTGTCCTACCAAGATGCCTTAAGGGAAGTCACCGCAGAAGAAGCAGCAGGCGGCGCTGTCAAGAACATGCGGCCGATCAGAAACAGTCCAGAGGTTGCATCCGTGCACCAGGAAGACGCCCAAAGAAACTCCGAGGAGGATCCGGACGAGGAAGTCGACCGTCTCCACCCCACGACGGAAGAAAAACAGAAGGGAAGCTCTTCAGCTCCGCTCAAGTGCATCGGCTGTGGAGGTCGCCACAGGAGAACCGACTGCAAGTTCCGCTCCGCTACCTGCCGGGCATGCGGCAAACAAGGACACATTGCAGCTGTGTGTCTGGGCCGACGAAAGGTACAACCTCAGGAAGAACTGCGCCTGAAAGGTACCAGATTCCCCAGCCAGAATAGGGTAGGTTTTTGCGCTTCGCGAAGAAGCATCCTTAGGACAGGCACACACAAGCCCATTAAGAAAAAGCTGTCACTCAAGGTGAAGCTACAAGGGGTTCCATTATCTATGGAACTAGACACAGGGTCTGCCCTTTCAATTATCTCCTTGCATACATTTAGGAAGATTTGTTCCGGTAGTGGAACTCAGGCCAAGTTAAGGCCTTCTGACATTGTGTTAACAGATTTTCAAAATTCAAGAGTGTGTGTTAAGGGGGAGGCCACCCTTAACGTGCAATACAAGAGTTTTGAAGGTCCACTAGACTTATTAGTAGTAGGGGGTGAACGAACGAGTCTCATAGGACTCGATTGGTTTGAGGCCCTGGGGATACACGTCACAGGACTCAA